AAGCAAATGATCCCTAATCTAAACCGCAAAGGACCTCGTTGAAAAATCTCTAATGGCAAGGAGTACTGGGTGGATAATAGAACGTCTTGGTACTGTGTGACATCAAATATTTGCGGTTTCTTTCAGTACACGACCATCGTGACCGAAAAAAGTTATAAAGGTGTAGTGGGCATGCTATTAGTAATGAGTTCATAAAAGGTTGCTTTAAAGAAGGGCCCCTTCTTAAGTAATGAATGACTTTTAAATGATATTAGTACAAAACTCTACAACAGTAAATATATCTTATTAACCAAGCGCGAGGGCCGTACTGGGAGAATATCGGCCCGAGGTCTTGACAGTACGGACCGAGCGCAGCGAGGTCCGTACAAAAAAGACCGAGGGCCGATATTCTTCCAGTACGGTCCCGAGCAAGCTTGGTTAATAAGAGATTTATTATACGACTGAAGTTCAAAGGGACACAAGTGCGGTATCATTCGGGACCATTCGGGACAGTGCCCGGTCCAATACTGAGAGAATATTGACCAGCAATAGAGCATTTTGATTGGTTGATTTTAGTTATTGGCCCTCTGACTGCCCGAGTCGTGTAATAAACATGCATATTGCACTTACCAACTTTATCACCTGTCAAAACCCAAATCTTGATATTTGCCTGTTGAAAACGAGAGAAAAAGCTGTTAGCCAGAACTGATAAGTGAGTCACTGATCAATACACTTCGCACTGAACCTATTAAGATTGAAGTTGGAGGATGGTTAATACGTTGGACTCCACAACGAGGGGTCTGGGTACGAGCTCTGACCGTGTCATTGTGTTAAATTCTTGAACAAGACATCTTCTACACTCAAAGTACATACCTCAGCTAAAGTTGCGATCGTATCTGGGACATCATCTTGAAGTTTATCCTCAATCGCCGTTGCACCGATCAGTGTTAAGTTCTGTTCAATTTCCTCATACGCCTGTTTGTAAAAATAAAAAAAAAAAATTAAAAAGTTAAAAAAGTTATATAGGTCAATAAACTCTTCTGGAACTTAAGTCACAAGTTATTTTAAGTCTACTCGCCTTTTGAACGAGCTCGTCCCTATTTTCCATGGCCATACTGAAGGGAGAAAGATAAATAATGTTAGAGAAAACATAATCCTATATATGACTGAAAAGATTTATAAATTAAAGAAAAGATCACTTAGTATTGAAGTGAGTTTATGGCAGCTGTCAAGGATAACCTCGGCTATAAATAAAAATGTCAGCTAGCTCTTTCACCCCCAGGAGTGACTGAAAAGGTATTTCTTCCCAAAATATCAATAAATTTATAGAAGAAAGGTGATGACAAGAGAGGAAAACATCAAGCAGAGGATATTGGGTAACGTAGCACTACATTCTCAGTGCTACAGTGATATGAAATGTGTGACAGACAGTGCGGAGAATTGCTGTTTAGATTTTGTTACTGAAAGGGTTAAGCACAGGAAGGCTGGAGAGTGGGCCCGACTACCATCCGCTGTTCGGAATCCGGAGCCCGCGCTGCTCCTCAAAGAGAATCGTCTCGGGAAGGAACGAAAAAGAGCAGAATCGAGAGAGGGGCGGAAATCGAGCCTAGCCACACAATAAAGAGATGCTAACCCTGAAATTAACAGACAAAAGCGAGGTTCGCCTGATCAATGTTCGATTTAACAAGTTTCACTGTTAAACATAATACGCAACGCAGAGCGAGTAAAATGTTCCAATGTTGATCTACATCTTTGGTGTGTCCATTAATAAACACAAACAGCAAGACCACGCCCATACAAATCACTCGTACCTCGCCTCCTTATACCGGGCCTCCCATTCCTTGTACACGTCGAGAGGTATGTCTTTGTAAGCTGTTACCAGAGTACGCAAACCTTCCGCTGCAAACACCTGGAAAAAAGTAGCATGTGAACTGGGTAGTGTTAAAATAAGACCGACTTGGTCACAAAAACACGGGTGGCTTTCCGATCAAGGCATATTAGGGACTTACGTTCAAATGCTGCATTGTTTTCGTCATGAGCGGTTTACAGGATTGGTCTAGAAGTTCGTACACAATGGTATCTGAAAGACAAACAGTTCGTAAATCTAGATTTTCTTCTCCTTGCACAGAACTGTTTAAAGATGAAATCATGTTCATTATAAAAAGAACAGTTCCGTTTCTTACAAACAAGTCTCTAAGCCAAAGCAGTAAAGCTTCTGAAGTACCGATTTACAAATAACACATAACAGTTCCTAAGAAGTAACAAGTCGATGAACTTTGTCAAGACAGCTACATGACGTCAAGTTCTCTGGAACTTGAAATTATACCCACGAGCGAGGCGATGTTTGAAACTTTTACCTGGTTTGAATTAAAAAACAGGTCTCCCCCCAAAAAGCTGAACAGTAAACTTCAAATCTGACCAAAGTAACCGACCGATTTAGGTCAGTTTAGTTCAGAGAGGGCAAGGAGGAACGTGGGTGGGTCAGCAAAGTAAGGGGATCACAGCACAAAAATACGGGACCATTACACGATTTGGTAATTTTTCTGATCCCTTTCCAACAATTTGGTTTCAAGCGTTCATTAACAGAACAACGAAAAGAAGAAGAAGAAAAAAAAACTACATTTAGCGATGAAATAACAAGTCGCATATCACAGTTGACGACTACTAACCGGCGCCTTTACAGTAGAGCTTTATTTGGTCGTTTCGCCGTACAATAACCTAAATAAAATGGTCAAAATTCATACTCGATTAGTAAGTACCGTAACATATACCTGACCACAACAAGATAAAAAGCCTGCAAATTTTAATTACTTAAAAGTAGTTTTCCAGCTTTGTTCTTGTGTGTCATTAAGGCGCTTATGCCTTGTGATCTCCTTCTGTTGTAATTTTGTCACAACATAAATTGCTGCATCTTTGAAATCCACTTACCGACATTCGCTTCCGTTCATTGTTGAAATCAAGAATGGCAAGCAACTCATAGATCTCCTGCAATTTTAAAATGAAAAATACTGAGAAACTTAAAAGGGGATATCAAATCAGCCACCTTTCTAGAAATTCAAACAGGATGTTCAACTGACCTCCTCTCTTAATACGTCAATCGTTAGAGTGGTCGGTGAACGTTCCTGGAGAAAGAAAAAAATTCATCCCGGATTGATTAATCAGTCTAGTGGCAAATAAAAATCATAAATATTTCTTTTCAAGTCCTGTGCCATCCAGAAAGCTTTCGTGCGTGAAAACTTTCCTTTCATTTAACCTCAAAGTGTAATTCAGATATGATATCATTTGCTACAGTCAAGACCACATGCTGAATTTTATTGCTGTCATATTTGATGAAGATACAAGTGCTCCAAATACTTTATGTGTTCCAAACTTTGATCAACCTTTTCTCGCTGAAATCAACGGTGGCAAACAGGTATCTTATCCCTTAATCTCGCATGAGTGACCAAGACAGGATTTCTCCTGACAATGTCAATAGAATATCAAGCAGACATGTGATGAGAATAAGGAAAAATGTCATTAGGGGGTTATTAGTTGAACCAATGCCAAATTCTCCGAGCTAACATCATACGAATTGGATGGTAGAAAGTAAGGAAATCACAAAAGTGATCTTGGGAGTGAACGGGTCAAACTGGAAATAATTCCTTGAATTCCTCAAACTTTCTGGCAGTCGTTTCCGTTTCTTTTTAGCTTAGAGGGCTCGCACGAGGACACGAGGAGCGAAAAAGCAACAAACAAAACGAAATAAGACAAAGCCCAACGATAATCGCACCCTTTCACAGCCACACCCCTTCCACAACCACACCCTTTTCACAACCAAACCCCTTTCGCAACCGCACCCCCTCTGCTCCTTTTTCCCACGTGACGCCCGCCTAGCTCAGGTGACTAACGGTTGGTCAATAGAAACAGAAACGACACTTATGCTGGCAACAGCCCTGCCAGTAGAATTTTACTACTACGGTTGGATTAAATAGCTAACAGTTTGTTACCAAAAAGGTGAATCCGAAGTTTCTTGCAGCCGTCACAAGAGCCGCTTCGTCGGGAGACTGGGCCTGATATTCCAAATTACCTACCAGAACAAAAAATTGAGTAAAAATACAGTAGAAGGCGTTATCCTAGGAGATTTGCTACATGTGTAAATGGAGAGAATGGCCTGATTGTACAAAGTAATTTTAATAACCAAGGAAGAAGAGTTTTCCATAAAACGTACCATTGTCTCGCTCCACCATAACCGTGTGACAGACGGCTAATAACCGGAACAGCTCATGGCACTCCTAAAAAAAGAAACGGATGTTAATATTGGCAGCCATAAATACAACTGCGTCTACAGCTGATTCTGTCGCAGACTACATTAACTCCGATATTATNGAAACTCTCCTCATCCAGTAATAACCTGGATTACACATTTCATTCCAAGTAACTTATTCTTCCTTTATCACATTTAATCCCACATGAATACAATACGCACTTAGAAAATGTCATTTTTCAAATGAACGTTGATGTTACCTAAAGAGAGAGTGACACCTTTTTTTTTTTACAGTAAAATCAATACGAGATATTACATAGTCACCTTGTTTCCCAAGTTTATTTCATCCAGCAAAGCTTGATCATTAAATTTAAATTTCCCATCAGGGTAGGGATTCTTGGATAAGTCCACATCTGGTGCCTGAGTAATAAAAAGTTTAACTGAAAATAATTGCTTGTTGTGACTGTTAATCTTTACGACGTTATCATCCCCAAATACTTCTTTGAAGTCATTACTGGAAAAAGCATTCGATCCTTTAGAGTACAGTACAACACGTAGATAATATCCAGAGTGTGAGTGAAGCGGTTTTATCACAGAGTGTCAATCACTGATTTTGTTTGGTGTCAAAACGGGATCAGTAGATGAGGAAACCTACAACTCCTTTTAGTGCACAAATTGTTGCACAAAGCACTAATGTTGTTGATTACTTTTTGAGCGATTTTACCCAAAAATAAGACTCGTTCAACATTCTACCAAACTTTGATACAGTTGAGCGAAAATTTTTGTTTCAATTTGTCCCGTCGGACCCCGCCTTTAGTCTGCTGCGCCATGTTATTGGTCTTGAAAAGTCGCGTCTCTAAAGTTTATATGTTACCCCTTCTTCTCTGATGGATACGGAGCTGACCAGAGTTTCTTCAGGATCTCCGGCACTCTCGCCCTCTACGTGACCTAAACAGAAGAAATAAAATGATTAATCCTTTACGCCCTTTCCACGCAATTCTCCATACAGTTCTCTTTACATTTCCTTAGGTGCTGCTAAGGAGAACTTGTTTAACAATCAAGAGCTTCTTTAGTTAGTGACAATTTCCTTTATTCTCGTGACCTTAGTGTGTGATTCAAGGATAATGTGTATTGAGAAATTAGACGCTAATCAATCTTCAAGTTTAAAGGGTTTATTAAAACAAAAAAATTCATTGACCTTTCGTAACGATTAAAAGGTTTCATAAACAGACAAGAGTATGATCGTTAAAACTGTCAAAATAAGATAACAACAATGTGGTCTTTATCAATCTTTATTTTCATAGTCAAAAGGAAGAAACAGCAGCTACTGAGATTGCTTTAAGCAAGTTTAGTTTTGAATTTTTTTGAAGACGAGTATTCAAAATTAAACAGCTCCGACAAAGGGTTAACGCTCGAAACGTCAGCTTTTATAACCGTAACGGTGGCCAATTTACCATTTCAACTTTGTTGATATATTCAAATTATTTCGTTACCCCCACCGACGCAGCGCCAAACAGTTTCTTTAGAAACTATCAGCCTTTATTCAGTTTATAAAACAGATTATGAGTAAGTTAGAGCCTGAAGTATGAGAATGTTATTTCGTGACCGTGTGAACTAACAGCTTTTTCAAAACAGGCTCTGGAAGTGTCAAGGTAATTGTTGTCCACAACACAGATGTCAGATTAAAGTCCACAACAAGGATGGTTACCCTGAACTCATCACCTCTCTTAGGTGTACCTTAACAACTCTACATAGTGTGAATCATTCTAACACAAAATGGAAGACCGCGACAGTGCGTTCTATCAACTATTAATGCAGAAATGAACGCCTTGCAACGAAGTCCAAGAACCTCGAAATGCTTTGGGTTTTTCTCCGACATCCACCACGCCACGACCATTACAGCGGACCCCCTACCCCCCCCCCCTCCGCCTCCTATTTGAGATTCACAGGTCGTCACAGGTAGACAATTCAACTGATCGAGTATCGTGTAAGAACTAACAGAGGCAAGGATTGTACAATTCCTCTTAAAGATCATTTAAGCTTTAAGCAACACTGATCATCAACAACAAACCGCGAGGTAGAATCGCGTCCTCGAACGATTTCATCGAGTGCACAAGAAATACACAATACTTGTTGGAAGTTATTGTTTCTTCCGATAAATCAATACAAGATCGAAGGAGCAGTCAAGTGGTAACCCAACTTACGCCACGTAAGCCAGTTTTGTGAAAGCTGTTAGCGCACAGGAAGACAGAACAGCGATTAAAAAGATTCATACATACGTCGAGAAGTGTTGTGCAGCGGACAATCAAAGAAGCAGCTATGAAACTGGCAAGAGTTGTGCGCCATGTGCATAGAAGGGTGCCGTTTGCCAGAAGAAGACCGATCAGGAGGTTCTCCTACCGCAATTACATAACGATCAATTTTGCTTTAGTAGTGACTGGGTTATGTATTATTTTCCGTTTATTTAAAACAATTATATAAGTCTTAAATCATTAATTTATTAGACAATGTTTTTATACCTTGTTGTTGAATAAGAATGTTATTCCTCACAAGAAACTAATTTTTCAACTCATTTCTTGAACAAAGTTAAGATCGTTAATTATTCTTCTCAACCTCGTAGCCCATCTGGCAAAAACTAATCTCGAGTTCTGGAGCGTAAAGCGACAAGTACTGGCTCCCCTCCTCGCCCAGTCGCCCCCCTCCTCACCCAGTCCCCCCCTCCTCACCCAGTCGCCCCCCTCCTCACCCAGTCGCCCCTCTCTTCACCTAGTCCCCTCCTCCTCACCCAGTCGCCCCCCTCCTCGCCCAGTCGCCCCCCTACTCACCCAGTCCCCCCTCCCATCCCCATTTCAGCAAGTTTCTGACAATTCCCCGATCCCAGTTGTACTCCTAACTGAAGAGAGGCTTTGTGGGGGTGATGTGTCTTCCAGCCTTCTTGATTCGGAGTCCACGGGGCTAGCCTCTACCTGATACTTTGGTAAATTATCGGTCAATACATTCAGTACATAATTAGTAAAGCTAAATCCACTAACCATAGAGTCTACCATTTATGGAACATTTCTTAAACGTCATCACATTCTGCGTCAGTGTTCCAGTCTAAACAGAACACAAAAACTTTGTCTGAACAAAGAACGTACTCATGGAGTATATACACAACTTATTAAACTAGATGATGTTTATCTAGCAAATTCGCGAAAGAGCAGTCGCTATTCTCTTCACAAATTAGATACCCTCAGTTATGTCATAGTTAATGGATAAACTATGGTTATGTTAAGATATAACATTCCAGTCGATCACTTTCATACTTTCAAGAGAGATGTGAAAATGGCCCACTATTCAACCAATGTTCATGCAGTATCGTACATGTAAGTCCAAAGTTACTGAGAGCTTTACAGTACTTCAGCGATTCCTTTGAGAGGTTTCAATCGTGCTGTTGGTAAATAAGTCGTCTGATACACTCTTCTAAATTGTTTGAAGCAATCTCCGAAAGGAATCATTCTAGAATCTGAATTAAGCGGTAACAGGGATGTAAACACGTAAAGCGTAGGCCGAAAACGACTATTAGAAGAGAGAAAGGAATTCAAAGTCAGGTGATTGTTTTCTCTCTGGCAAGTTTGTAAAACTGTGGCTTTAAATCGAATTATCATGCCACTTGGCGCATAACACAGCAGTCAAACCTTATAGGAACAATACGTTGCACATTATTGAAACAATATATGCTACACTGGACATAACACTCAGATGGAAACACTGCACCGTGACATAACATCCACCCCAGACCTTACTGAAACAATGAAGTCCTCAAAACAGATTAGCCAACTAAGGGATTTTGTAATGAGACGTTACATAGACCAGCATTTGAACTCTGGGAGCTAAACTTACGCAGCGAAAATTCACCTTATCAGAGAAGATGTATTCAATCTGTCCAAGTTCCTCACTGAGGGTGGTTGTTCTGGGAAAAAGAGGAAGATGGCAGTGAGCACTTCGTAGCCTGCAGAACAGGCGTAAATTTTTTTGCGTTTTCCAGTCGAGGCGGAAAAGTGCAAGTCACGCATGAGGGGAGAAGTGCGTTATTTTTGACGCTCCTCTCCTCGCGTGTGATTTGCGCTTTGCCGCCTAGCGCTTGTCTCCGTTCGCCTGTGGAACGCAAAAAGTTACGCCTGTTCTCCAGGCTACACTTTTCGGTACTGCTGAAAAACACTGACATTACCTCTTACACTTAAGGAATATTCAATTGAGCTTTCCGTGCTATTCCCTCACGTGAGTTGACATCTATGGGTAAAACTGACGTGCACGAGCTCCGTGATCTGAAGACCTCGCTTCCCTGGG